TTGTCAAATTTCTTCTTTCAAAAACAAGCAAAAGATTTCTTTAACATGTGGAAAAGACAATGGGATAGAAAACTCAACACTATCACCTTCTAAAGAAACCCTCCCACGTTATAATAATTAATGAGAATTTATTTGCCTTTTGTCCAGTGCAGTCACTACAACAGTCTCTGGGATCATAATAAATTTTTATACATTTATGAGAAAAATACAATAACATAGTTCACAAGCAATGCCCTGTTTTATGTCAAGCACTTCTTTGTAAAAATATATATATAAATGTATAAAAGAAGTTATATGAAAAAGGAGACCTTCCATGGAAAAGTTCACTCCAAATTTTGTATTTTAAACCAAACAACCTCAACATTTTTAAGAATTTTTTCACGTAGACACTGATAGCAAGGATGTCTGCCTGAAGTTTGTTGCACTCCAGGCCTATGACTTCATTTTACAAATCAGATAACATGGAAATAAGATGGACACATTCAGAAAAGACAGAATTCACTAGTGTTTCTGAAGCTGTGGCCTGGCAGTTTGCCTTTAGCCCCGATGAAATATTAATTGCACATTTTTAAAAAATCACCAAGGTTATGCATCTCCCCGGAGCCTAGAAGGTCTTTCATATTTCTTAATTACCAAACGTAGGTTCGGCCGCTCGGCTTTCTCCCTGCTCCTGCCGCATCAAGGGTGCCCTTGCGGTTTCCACTGAAAAGGACTATCCATTAACATAGGAGGTTGGAGTGGCGGGTGGAAGAAGGGAAAGGTGTTAATTCAGATGTTATGAAACTGTGATAATGCTATTATTTAAGGCACTTATTTGGGTATGTTTATACTTTGTAGTTTTATAAATAAACCCAAGGGGCTTCTCCGGGTTGTCACAGTCCTCCTTGAAGCTCGGATCCTGTCTGTCTCTTCCTATCCGACAGTAGAATTGATGCCGCTCTAATCCCTGGAAGTTGGGAACTAATGAACTGACTGCTGAGCTGCCGCCACGGAGCTTGGTCCCAAACTATACTGTACTTCACACTCGATTTATTCTCCAGATGGCGAGACTGTGCCGCCCTGCCGCGAGGGACCACCTCTTCCACTGGAGTGTAAAAGTGGACGGATGTTGTTTTCTTTGCAGATTTGATCATTCTGAGCTAGAAACTCGCGAGGATGATTAGTTATTAGCTTTAATGGGTGCCAATTGAACCAACTGCACGCATATTTTCTCCTTTAATTTTGGAGTCTGCGGGTCTTGGTGATGGTTGATTTATCCGCTTTCTTACGTCACTCGAGCGTGTCTCTTCCCCAGGTGATAAGAACCAGGTCTCTGAAATCATAGCACGCCTTGGTTCCTGGCCCAGACAGAGTCATATAATACGGTGGCTTATGTATAAGGACAAGTTTATTAGCCACTGGTCCACTGCACTGAGCAGCCCGTGGCACGGAATATCGATTGGCTGCAGGAAGGTTGGTGACACCACTTTTTATGTACAACAGCGGCTGGTGAAGATTCTGATTGGGGCCAACTTCCTTTGTGACCTCTGCAGAGTTCACCTCTGGAATCAGACATGCTACAGAACACACTGTGATAATTAGTCTCCGCAAAGATCTAATGTAACTGTTGAGAAAGGCCTTAATTCCATTATTCTGTTTTTTCCAGGTTGTCAGATTTTAGTGGGACAAGCTCATCCTACACTAAGAAGTGCTTAACAAGGCCGTTTTGTAGTGTTAACACAGTTAGAGTGCAGTTCCTTCCAAACCGCATTTTGAACAACCTGGCTTGCCACCAGAATGTAAGACCCCTCCCCTAACCACCCCCCAAAAAAGGTCTTTTTTGAGGGACCTCTTTTTGCTTTAATTTCCTCTTCCTTCTTTTGCCAGGGAATATTACCTCCCAGTATCTCAGCAGACCACTTAAATAGCCCTTCAGAGAAGGGGGTGTCTGCCAGGCCCGTGTCTTACTGATCCGCTGCATGAGATAGAAATTGGAAGGATAGTCAGGGCTGAGGGGGAGCCAAGGAAAAAGAGAGAGAGAGAGAGAAAGCGTGAAGGGAGCAAGGTGATGCAAAGGAGAGAGCTGTGAGAAAGAAAGATTGGCATCAGGGAGGGAGAGAACAGAATGAACAGAATTTCTTTCTTTTCACAACTGGGTGGATTGTGGCTCTCTCTAGCTGAGCACCCAGAACTTAACTTAATTGTTCTTAGAAACTGCCTTCCTCTCACCCAACAGATGGCATGGGTGTGTTTGCTAGCACAGTAACATATTTCACCATTATAGCACCAAAAAGAAAAAAAAAAATCAACATACTTGTTGGTTGGTGTAAATTCAGTGAAGTTGTTGGATATTTTGGAATACATAGCAGAGGGACGCACACTTGGTTTATGTAAATTGCAGCAAGCAACAGCCTGTTAATAAGGGTGTTGTGTGGCAATATACCTCCAAAGCCATCATCTTTTTTTGGAAAGGTATAGAATGATGAAGTGGAAAGAGCTTGTTTTCATTCTGAGCCAAGAAAAGAAAAAAAAAAAGAAGTCCAACAAAATGCTGAGTATTCACTGTTCGTTATTATAACATGAAAAGTACTAATAAGATTATGCCCAAAATTGGAATTAGGTACTTCATTTGCAGCCAATTTCACAAGGGTTGAATTTTACTAAGTAAACTGGAATGTGCTGAAACCATGGTAATCTGACTTTAGATAAAAATCGCAAAGCCGGGGCGTGGGGTGGAGGCGGGGGTGGGTGGTAGTGGAGGGGGGTGCCTGGGTGGCTCTGTCGTTAGGCCTCTGCCTCCAGCTCAGGTCACGATCCCAGGGTCCTGGCATGGAGCCCCATGTCGGCTCCCTACTCAGCGAAAAGCCTGCTTCTCCCTCTCCCACTCCCCCTGCTTGTGTTCCCTCTCTCGCTGTCTCTCTCTGTCAAATAAATAAATTAAATCTAAAAAAAATTTGCAAATGGGTTAGAACACAAGCTTTGAACAAACAGCCCCTTTCTAATCCAGTGAAACAACAGAACAGCTTAGAGGGCAGATTTTGTTCGACACCGACATGAACAATTTAGGAAGTCGACGTTGCCAGGGATCCTGCGTCCTGGGCACACACACAGATTAAAGTAGAGCGTAGATGACGATTCACGTAACTCAAGTTTTAAAATGCCTTTCAGGCTAAATGATCTAGTTCGTTCCTTTCCATTTTCCATTCACTCTGTCCCAGTAGACCCTTGACAAGCCCAACCTGCTATTGAAAGAAATCCTGGAAGTTGAAATATTTACAAGCTGGAGCAATGCTGAGTTTGTAGCTGTTTGGGCTACATGGAGCATAACGCATTTTAGGTTCTCAGAGGCTATGGATCTAAACGCCCACACTGTCAAAAAGCTGAAGGCATTTTCTCTCGACAGCTCTGGATGTTCTTGGAACCGTGGCACTGAGCTCACTTCCACGCTTCACCTTCAGGTTTTTCCTAGTTAGTGAACGTAACAACAAGGCATGGCAGAGCAAGCGGATGAGTTTTATAGCTGTGGAATAGCCAAGGGCAGGATGTGGAACCAAGCCACCCTTGGCCGCAGCACCCTTCACTTCAGCTAGTGTGCGGCGCTCTTGCTTTTGTCTAAGCTTGGCCTAATTACCCGCAGTCAGAGCTCTGTAAATCAGGGCTCCACAGGGCTGTCTTAAACTGGTCTACGTATTCTGTTTCCATCTGACCTGACAACTCTAAGCCACTGTTTCCTCACACTGTTTAACTCAGACCACATTTGGAAGCCTTCCCTGCTCCCACTCGGTCATAGACCTACATCCGTCTGCTTTAAATCTACTGTCCTGGCTTGTCTTGTTGATTCGACTTAGACCCAATATCGGCTCTCATAATTCTCTTTTTGTCTCCGCTTTGGTTTGCTATTTTTCCAGATAAGTATTGCTGTTCAAATGGCTGTATATTGTTAAGACTTTTTTTTTAAACCACATTCGTCAGCAGCGAGAAGCTTTAAAGTTTTATTAGTATCATAAAAACCCTTCCCAAATGAAACTACTTTTGATAAGTGTTCATTCTGACAATGAAAATTTGTTGAGGGCTGTTGGCAAGTTGAAGGAACTTGTTTTTGAAACTGAAATTGGCAGGAAGTAATGACCCCAAGTGCTTTCTTTCTCTTGACTCCAACCCCCAGCCCCTCAATGCGCTCCTTTCTCTCCCCACCCCCTTCCCCACCTTCAACACCCCAACTCAGAGCCAATAAATAACATGCTTGGTTTCATACAGTTTTTCTAGGGACAATTCATACACTGAAGCAGGCTTTCAACCTTTCAGCTTTTCTTAACTGTGGAGCACAGACTGGCAAGTCAAAGGGAAAAAAATTATTTGTCTTCCACTTCATGATGGGATTTCTTGGTGGTATTTTTGCCTTCCATCTGAATAAGTTGGAGCTTTTTTGTACTGTGGAGTGTGTCATTTTCCAGGGAGCGCTCTCTTAATTGAATGTCAAAAATCAACTCACTTGCAAAAAATGTCTAAGTGACTAAAAAGCATGACGCATGTGGAAAAGAGAAAAACAAATCCTTATTTTTTTCCCTCCTGTGAATATGCTGACAGACAAGACTACCATTATCCATGTGTTATGTAGTTCCTTATGTTTATTAAATGAGAAAATGCAAGTAGAAGTCTTAGAACCTTGCCTAGAGCTTAGTAAATGCTCAATAAATGCTCCCCGTGAGTCATTCTACCTTTGTAGTTGGAAAGCAATGCTAGTGAGCCAGAGCACAGCACTGGTTAAGAAGTGCACCAATGTGCGTGACAGTGGCCGCCACCTCTGTTACAGTCATCTTGAGTGAAGTCTGGAAATCAGTCTCCTGTCTGTCAGATTGGACAACTTATTTCAAATGCCATGTATTAGCTGGACAGGAAATGTGCAGATACAGTCATGGTGCTCAGACTCTGAATCCACTCAGGAGGTCCACAGTCCGTTGGATTGTGTTTCCTCTCGATGATAAATAAACTTAGGAGACACGTTTTGTTGACACCTATAGAATGAAGCTCGACTGAGAATAGTAAAAACTCTTGAAGACTTTGATCTGGGCCCAACTGAAAAGTGTGTGAGAGTCAACTCGGTGTCCAGTGGTCTGGCCGAAGAGGATCTGGAGACCCTCCTGCAGTCCCGGGTCCTTCCCTCAAGCCTGATGCTGCCCAAGGTGGAAGGTCCTGAAGAAATCCAGTGGGTGAGTAGCTAATGCTTCGCTTTTAAAGACTCAGGAGCAGCTGGGAAGGAGTAGCGGAAGGCAAGGGTTCGGGTGCTGCAGATTTTGAAAACGCATACACGGAGCAGAGAGAAAGGGAGCTGAGGGAAAGGAGGGAGGCCAAGAGACTGTTCCCTTCACACAAGGAGAGCCTGGCTTTACCCAGAGTGTTCGGAGGAACAACTCTGCCCTGGGGATGACGCTTCCGCTCCCTATTCAGACTTGCGGTTGGGCCAGTTCGGCGTCCTTGGAAGCCTCACAGAGCAATCCTTGGAAACCGGCTTGCCCCGGGAATTGGATCACTTCTCTCGGGCCGCCAGGCCCTAACCTCCACCTGGAAGAGCAGGGAAGTAAATGGCTCCCACCCAGGTTCATTTGCCGTCTTCATAGACAGCGAAAGCACATTAGCCACGAATGAAAAAATGAACCTGGAGGAGAGGGAAAGGTCACTCCTGAGGGCAACTCGAGGAAGAAACAGGAAGCTTTTAACTAGTGGTTTTAATTAGCACAGATATTATTTCCTGAACAGCTCTCTGGTCCGTCCTTTTTAAATTGCTGACAGGTGTGTGTGTGTGTTTCATGACGGACTTTTCAGCCAATAAAAACCTGGCATGTCAAATTACTTAAGAAAACTTTGGAATGGGCCTAATTATACTATGATTGTTTTCATTGTTCAAGGAGGGGGAGGCTCGATTTTATTTAGGGTTGCTCTGATTCTGCAGATCTCTGCTGAATAAAATACCCACCCGTTGTGCCACTCCGAGGCAGAGAGCCTGCGACGCAGCCGTGAGCGCGAACACAGTGGTGATTTTGACCCACGCCTGGGAGTATCTCGAAGGCTGTGGCTCCAAATGCAGCAGTGCCCCGAAGAGCTGTACTACCAGAGGAAACTGCTCACCTTTTTCAGGCGTGTAGATGTGTCGAATCTGTACTTTCCAGGGCTGTGGCCACCTGCCCCATGTGGCTACCGCCTGCTCCATGAGCGCTTGAAATGTGGCAAGTCCAAATTGAGATGTGCTGCTAAGTGTACAATACACATGGGGTTTCGAAGACTTTGCAGCCGCCTCCCCCCAAAAAGAATATAAATCATCTCCATCATTTTTATTTTGACCACATGTTGAAATGATAATATTTCAGCTCTCTTGGGTCGAACGAACATTACTCAAATGAAACTCACCTGTTTCATTTTCCTCTTTTAATGCAGCTACTAGCAAATTCAGAATTACATCTGTAGCTGCCATTAGTTTGCTGCTGGACAGCTCCGTGTTGGCGTCTTCTGGAAGACCGCACGTTCAAGGCCCAGGGTTTACTTTCTAAACTGGAGTTCTTCTCCCCAAGGTCACCCCTCAGAAGCTGGGAGATACCGGTTACAGTCGGCTACAATCCCCGAGGCCTCCTGCCCCATTCGAATGTGTCTTAAATTGATTGAAATGGAATCTGAAGCCACTGTTCCCTTTTGGTTTCATGTTAATGCCTGTTTATCACCGTTATTACCCTTCATTTAAGAGGGGAGGACCCACCCCAGCCTTCAGCTACAGCTTCTGTTCGCTGTTTTAAATCCTAGGATAGAAATAGGATTTCTAGTTAACAGAAGTCTTTTGGGCTGTTTATTTTTTCCTCTCCGTTTGTATTTATGTGAAGCATAAAACCCGGAGCCTGATGCACAACTGAAAGATGGGCTTCCTTGTTTCCTTTTGTGTGAGAATCTCTTGCTGGCCTTTTGTCGCTAGTGTGGGTTCTTGTTTGACTGGCACGGCTTATTGGACTATAACAAGCGTGACTCTGCCTCCTTTGTCGTGGGACAATTCTCCCACAAATCCCGAACAGTGTGCATTCTCCCAACACACTATTGGGTGTGCACTGGAATTGAAAGAATTGCTGAGCCCTGCTACTTCATCTCCTCCCCAATCTCTTTGTGATTTTTTTCCCCTTCTTTTCCTCCACCCCCCTCCCCAGCCCCTCCACCTCACTGAAATGAACACTTTACCAGGCCGGAAACATTTAATCGTCTCCTTTTGAAAAAATTAATTGAAACTTCTCCACTAGTTACCTTTTGTGTCAGTACTTAATTCAATTTTTTAAGAAAGAAGGGGAGGAGGAGAAGGCGAATGGGCCAGAATATTTAATTTTTAAATGCCCCTGTTGGCTTAAAAACAAAAGGCATTAGAGATTTTTCTAAGAACAGGAAATATATTGTAAAGTACTTAGCTAGTTTTAAACTTTATGATTCTTGTAGTGACAACTATTATCACAAAGAATGGGACAAGTAACGTTGCACGTTGGTTTCGTTTGTTTGTTTGTTTTAATGAGAAAAATAAGTTCTTCCAGTGCAGATAGAACACCAAAACTACTAATATTTCACTACCCATTTTCCAGTTTAAAAGTGACATAAATTAGGTTTTATTTTCACTTTCTCGGAATAGTATACATTTTGTCTCCTTACATTGCAGCCTTCTCTTCTTTCTTGCTATTTTGGTTGAGTTATTCCTTCCCTTGGAAAGTTACTAAGGAGGTGACGATGGTGGTGTCTGAGGAAGGGAGGGGCAGTGGGAGCAACTGGGAATAATTCTTCATTACTGAAAGCTGTGATTTATTTTAGGCTAATTGTAAAGTTACTGCAAATTGCTCAAAAGCTTTTTAAAGATCCCAGTGATTAGATTTTTTAGGGGGGGGTGCTGCACAAGCAAGGAGGGGGCAGCTAAAAGGGGAAATAACACCTCTAATCCTGCTTCTGGTAAATAGGCTGCCAGCTTTTAAAATGAGTTTCCTTTCTATTAGTCAGAATATTATGCTAAGCCTTAAGCATTAGTTTTTTTATGTTGCCATAGCAGCCCTATTCCTGCAGGGTGGTGACCTGCGATGATTACAGTACAAAGCTTATAGGGTCTTGAAACCCCCTTTGAAGATGAAAAGTCTTTGATGGTTTATATTTATGCAAATCTCTTAGATATGATTTACCCAACTGAGACTGAATGGAGAGATGATTAAAATTCCCTTTTCCTTTGATATCCATTAATGGCTGAATATTCCTTAAATTTAAAATGGATATATATGTTTTCATCTTTATTTACAAAAATATCTTTATCATACCTGTGTGTGTGTATGTGTGTGTGTGTGTGTGTGTGTTTATCTCCCCACATCTTATTAGATCTAGATAGACATAATAGATTTACAATTTAGAGTGTGGTGGGGTTTTTTTTCCCCCCTTTTGAAAGGGGGGGGTGGTGGAGATCTGTGCAAGAGCTTTTGTATGTTTCCAGATGATAGATTTTGGAATTTGGGCTACCCCACTGGCAGCACAGAGCTAGCTGTGAACTGGTCTCATGGAAAAAATTGGCGAGCTTTGGTCTTCAAAGAATTAAACTTCCTTTTTAAGGTCTTCCTAGGTAAGCTAAAAAATTATGAAGAAAAACCTACTGAACAAAGGATAATGGTGCTATAATGAATAATATGGGTTCCACGTAGAAGGCTGCTGTACAGTTCCACTGATGTCAGTGCCTGGTCCAAAACAAAAACAGAATGGCAGGTAGAGCAAGACTTCACTGTTTTGGGGACCTACCATTTGCATTTAACGAAGTGAAGGCTAGAGGTCTTAAGTAGATATGTTTTCAAGGAAAGCATTTAAACTCCAGAATCTCTCTTTCCACTTCTAACTCCTAGGCCTCAAAATGCTCCTTAAGGGGGGAAAAAAATTATAATGCTTGGGGTTTTACTATTTAGTTTGGTGGGAACTTTGTTACCTGTTTTCTTTGGTCTTTCCTCCTGTTTTGTTTTGTTTTGTTTTGTTTTCAATCTCTTTTGTGTACGAAATAGGCTGGGATATTACTTCCTCAGGCCAAAGACTTAAATACTACTTCTGTGTCTATGTTTCAGTGATTGTACATTTTTCCCCCATTAATCACCTATGACACTTTTGATTTTAGTTTTCAGACAAATTTTCATTCTACTTAAAAGGCCGAAAACTTGAACAGCCTATGAATTTAATCCCTTTTGTGGAAACTGCAATGGGTTTGCTCAATTTTAAGGTAAGAGAACGTAATGTGACTAATAAGTTAGTATTTTATTTATTCCCTAAAGAGAACTTTTGTTCTCAATTTTGATATCTACTTAAAATATTTTTCTAGAAAGATTTATAGGCAAAGTAAACCTTGAGCACCATTTATTATCTGTAATAATCCAGGCAGTGAGCATCTTAGAAAACAAAGAAACTAGCTTAGTAGCAAGGAAAAACTTCCCAATCCTAAATATTTAAGTGAAATATTTATATATTCCTATTTTAATGAAATAAACATACGTAAACATATGCTCTGAATTATTATATTTATAGATGAAATGTACATGAAAATGTCTTTTGTTTCCCTTCTGAGTTGACGTTCAGTTATTCTTTTGTAACAATTGCCTTTTATTGGGAAATGTTCTGGCCTCTTTGTGGCAACATTATCCATAATGTCTAGTATGTACGACTGCTATTTGTAGGTTAGTATACACCAGTAATCTGTAATATATTATTTCAATTTGCCACATTAGAACGTGCAGTATTTCCTGATATGCATTCAGGAAGATTAGCTGAACCAAGTGTTTGCCAGCAGTGCAGGGCTGCATTAAACCATTTATTTGCCTTAACGATTTCATGGCTAGCTTGTTTTTTCCCCTTTATCACTGATTCATTTAAACTGTTTTCCAAAATATGTCTCACATTTCACCTGACTCCAGAACATCATTGCAGCACCCTGTCTCAGAGGGCAGAAGGGAAGAAATCCCTAAAAACAAAGAAAAGAGATAGTTGAAAACTGCCCAGAGAGATAATATGTGAGTAAGCGCTCCGAGAGGAAACTTTGAGACCTACTGGACCGTGCAGGAGGGGCAGAGTGCATATTTTCGGGGAGCTGCTTCAAGCCTCATGATCAGCACATTTACGCCACTGACCACAAATTCTTCCAGCCTGCCCCATAATTCTGAGATATAATCAAAGCATATCCCTTAGATGTGACTAGATTCAGACAATGATTGAATTCTAAACTCCACGGCACCACATTATTCCATATTATACTTAGGAGCACTTACAACCCCTGAAATTAATCAACTGTGTCCTCTCCTGATTTTCAGGTCTTCCCCACCCACATACATTAGCATGCTTAATCTCCACCTCGGTAGATTGAGTTCCCGACGACTCAGTTACCTAACACGTAGGGCAGACGTTACAAATCACATAGAAATATTTTCACATAGAAATATAAAAGTTGCCAATGAATACATCTTGAATGACTTGTTGCATTTTTATTTGCCCCTCTGGAGTGGTAGATTTTTGTATTGACTGTCTTTAATCCTGAGGCCATTTACTAGGAAATCCTGATCCTAATGCAAATAATCCAATTAATTTGATTTAAAAATTCTTTCCTTCTCTCCTGTGGTTCTATGTTTATTGTTTGAGAGTCTCTTAAAACAAAAACAAATTTTGGAAAAAAGAGAAATAATGTACAGTACGATCAAAATGAGTTAATTCAAAGTTTCTCTAGAAATTAGATGAACTGTGATTCGAACATTGTTAACTATATTAATATGTATTTGTAACTGTATTAACGTAATCCATGAAGCAAAGCAAATCTATACAACGTACTTATCTTGGACAATATTAAAAGCCTTTCAAAAGAGGTAAATTTAGGCTGCATTTTAGGACTGCTAGTTTGCTTTCAGCCAAACTGTGTTAAGAGTTGTATCTTTCTGCTACTGAAATACACCATGCGGTTTCTCTCTAAACTGCATTTCTGTGAGATTTGGTTCTGTTCTGCTCTTTTACAGGCCGTGTGTAAAGAAGCACTGAAGACCGGGCCTCAAGTGGGTCTTTTCCTAGACGCAGTCGTTTTTGGAGGAGAAGACTTTCGGGCCAGCATAGGTATCAAACACATTTCTCTCTTTTTCAATCTGTGTGTGTGTGTGTGTGTATTTTTTCTTCGCCCCTTCATGAATGGACATTTACATGACAATATATATTTGCCAACCATGACAATGGTTCTTCTGAATGGGCAATACTTTCTGATAATTTAGGGCACCTCGGAGCTGTCCTGCTTCTAGAACACTGTATTATTACTTCTCTTCGTTTATAAAATAATAAAAAGCCTGTCGCAACCTCAGATGTGTTGGGGAATATATGACATCTACTTTGTTCATAGTGAGTATAATATGTGAATAACCTCTCCGTGGCTTAAATATTTTGTTTTCACATCAGTCTGAGGGTTATGTAGGCTTCTAACACAAATAAAGGCCATTTTACATTTTAATGAATCATTTTCTATATTAAATGTGGTATCCAAATATTATTTTAAACAGATCTTAAATTCCTCCTAAAATACATGTCAGAACTCTTATTAAATATTTATTGAGATAATATGTTTGTTTCCACTAATCTTCCCCATCCCTTGGGCACTCTGCCTCTGGTCTTACTAGTGACTCTGGGCACACCTAGAAAAGAGGCCAAGTCCACAAAGCATTTGCAGAACCACAGTGCCAGTGGCCTGAAGCCTGGAGCTCTCCCTGAGCAGTGTCACGGTCCAAATACGAACAGTGACACCCCACACCCACCCGCCCCTAGGGGGAAAGAAAAGGAGCTTATTTTAATACCAGTCTTTCCAAGAGACTTTTGTGTTTCGGACAGTTCAGTGGATACTTTCTGCCTCTTTCAAAATGAGTGCCCTTCCGTTTCCCCAATTTCTTCATCCCTGAAGCTGTGCTCTTTGGCTCAGAACCTTAGTTATGGCAGGGCATGGCAACCACAGCACGTGAATTTCTGGGCTCTGCGAGAGAAGTTAACTATTTCCTTGCCCAGCTGCTTGGCCACCTTTTGTGGTGCCGTCTTTGGACTGATACTTTCCAAGCAATGGCTAGAAGGAAAAAAATCTACCAGAAGTAATTGGTGACCTATCAAGTCATTTGTGGTTGTATCTCCTGAGATGCAGGAGGGGCCCTTTCGTAACCCACACACATGTAATGACACTGAAATGTGCCTTCCAAGATAAACAGACCTAAGTGACTTAACTCTGCCTCCACATATCCCTCTCTTTGTTTATATTAGAATCATCATTTTGCTGGGGAACGATTCCCAGGTCTTTACAAACCGAGTTTTTACAATAGGTGGCTGTGTTTGGTTTCCAGAGTTCATGTCTCCTTTTTCTGTCCACATCCCATTTCAGGTGCAACAAGTAGTAAAGATACCCAAGATATTCTGTACGCCCGACAGAAGATTATCGTTACAGCGAAGGCCTTTGGTCTGCAGGCCATAGATCTGGTATACATTGACTTTCGAGATGGAGAGGGGCTCCTCAGGCAGTCAAGGGAAGGAGCTGCAATGGGATTTACTGGTATGATTCTTGATGATATCTTAGAAAGCAGTAGCGAAATTAGCAAACATTCCAGAGCCATATATCTGATAGACTTATTCCACTATTTGAAATGTGGAAATGTCATCTAGGGTAAGAACCTACTGAACAAATTGTGCTTTCCCTTGGTGCTGCAACTCAAACAATGAAGGCTTCGTTTTATTTCCTCTTTACATTAGTTACCTTTTTTTTTTTTTTCTGTCTTCCTAAGTATTCTGGTTTTGCTGACCCTAGAGGAGGGATGAGGTTATTAGAGAAGTGTTTTTGAGTGAATTGCTGTAAGAATTTGGGTTGATGGGGGAAAGGAAAATGTCCTCAAACATTCAAAATATTCATTTCTGAAAAAACTTTGGTGATCTCTTCTTTGATTTTTTTTTTTTTTACTACTCATAACTAGTTTTTTATTCTTCTGCTACTTCAAGCTCCTTATTCTTCTCCCACCTCCCCGTAAGTGTCTATGTACCTGGCGACACCTACGGGCTTTGGCTGGCACTAAGATCAGCGGGTTTCCCGCAATCCAGTCCTGGAGTGCAGGCAGATATCTGTTGATTGGTGTGTCCGATCACTCAGATCCCCAGGAGTCTGGGGAGCAACCGAAAATTGTGTTTTTGCAACAGAAATCCATTTTTTTCAAAACCACAATAGGATTCTACACACAAACACACATCCATAGTTGTGAGCATACACACACACACACACACATGCACGCACGCACGCGTGCAACCATAGATAAGAAACACCATAAGCTCTTTTATTCTTAGTTAATCTTCTGCTACAAGTTCTGAGAATATCATGATCAGAAATTAACTCAGATAATAAGGAAAAGAGACAAACATCCTTGCTGTCCCTTTTGTAAATATTTTTGAAATATGTCCAGTTGGGGATTACTGAAAGAATTATTTCATAAAATGACCTTAAATGTAAAACTTATCTTAATAGACGGTGGTTTACCCCCAAATAAAATTAAACAACTTAGGAAATTTCAGTATTATGTTAGACTTAAATAAAGTTCTGACAATTTGTTTTTGTGTCTTCAACAGGAAGAGTTAAAACAAACTGTGATCACCCCAAATTTGTTTAATAAATAAATGAGTAAATAAATGTGATCTCTTATAGGGAAATATTTTTCAATCATCTGAACTATTAATAAATGAATCCTCCCCACATTTAATAGTGACTAAGAATGAAAGAGTCCCCTTCTGGTCCTGAGGTTGTCCTTGTCCCCGTGGCCTGTTACACCTGCCTCTTTCCAGTGACCAGTTAGGGCATAGCCCAAATGGAAAAGTTGGAGAAACACTCCATGAAATCTATCTAATAGACTTCGATGTTGTTGGTCTAAAATGTGTGGCATTGGCTGCCAAGCAGCCAGATGTTGCTGTGAAATGGGCACTAATTCAATAAAAAAAAATAAAAAATTGAAAACACTGAATTGATGCTGGCCTGTATCACCATCACTCAGTATAACCTGGGTGTCCTCAACTACCTCTGGGGTAAATGTTTGCTCCAGAACTTATAAAGGAGTTTGAGAATTTCTCCAAGAAACAGGGCTGAATTAAATTGGTCCCTAATTCAATCGCAGAAGACAAGTTACTTCAAATCAGATTTAAATTTCTAGACTGTGCCCAACTCAGCATGAGGAGCTTATGGGCTTGGCACTATTGTTTCTCAACAACAGGGAGTATTAAATCACACACACAAAAAAATGGAAGCAGGGGGAGAATGGGGAGGCACAGAGGGCACAGTGCCCATTATATATTCAAGTGAACAAGTCAGTAAAGTAGGGAGCTATACTTCATAATCATTTTGCAATTTTTAGAAAGGTCTTTGTTGTCCCAATTATATTTCTACATACCAGTAAAAGGGAATTAGTCTGGTAATAAGATATGAGATTATTTGTAGTATTTTGAAACAATAAGGGCTTTGATTATTTTAGACCCAGTTGTGATCTGTTTGTCCTAATTATTTGTCATTTAATTGCCATAACTTGGGCTCTGCACAAGCAGGGAGGAAAGCAAGGAGGGAAGAAGAAATACGCACCCACTCTGAAGCAGGTGGTTGGAAGTTTTAAAATCTAATGAAAGTATCGTGTTACCCCTAACACTGATGAGCAGCACTCAGTCTATGCATAAGGATTTTCTCTACTTCTAAAAATTAATACATTTTTTTTTAATGAGTTGTAGTTTTTTAAAAGTTAGCCATGCATCAAACAGCACATTATGGTTTCTCTTCTCCGGTCATTATTTCACAGGGCCACAGTCCATGTGGATTGATTTTAAATCAATGCATTGGCCATACAAGTGGCTATTAACATTAGGAATTATTCTTCTAAAAAGAAAGCAAAACTAAATCTTGGAATAAAGCTTCAACAGCTGACTTGGTCATCACTGCATGCTGAGAAGAAAGATGATAAATTTGAAGCACTATAGGTTTTCTTCTTTTTTGCAGTCTTTTGTAGAAGACAAAAATGACACCATCATACAGTCACCTAAAAGACTTGACAGGTATTGATTTAAAGCACGATATATCAAGTGGTACTGTAAAAAGGATTTCATGGTCATAAATTTTAATGTCTTCCAATTTTGCACCCTCAGTAACTTGCCAATAACAGCCCTTCTGTATAAAATATTTGCTTCACTCCCACATGGGCATTAAAGTCTGACATTCTGTTGTTGGGATATACAAGAATCAGCCACAGAAAACTTCGTACATGGATGTTCATAAATTTCTAAAACTTAACACATATCCTAAAATTAGCCTCACTACCAAAATAAGGGTACTTGCAGCCATCAGTGCTTTCCCAGTATTTCTAGATGGTTTATGTTTCGCTCCTCAAGTCATAGTGTCTGTACCAAGATGTTCCCGTGAAATCTGGCTTTTTACACATCTGTGTAAATTATGTACATAAATTATAAAATTCAGGTCTAACAATTAGTACAAAATGACTACCAGAACTGACATCCTTTATTAATAATATTGTAACAACTATTAGATGACTTAAATGTAATTGCAGCACCTATTGAAAAAAGCTCTCATTTGTCATCACTGATATTATTTGTTCCCTGAAATTATGCCTGTTTTAGTATATGTGCTGCCAAAATGAGCACAATTCCTCAAATAATTTAAAGCATCTTTATTTGTATAAGGCTTTAAAGTTTTATTAGTATGCTGATAGATTGGAATCAAATAACAGCAAGGTGAAGGTGTTCTAATTATGCTACTGTAAGAAAAGATATTGCTATATTGATCCATTTAAACTCTTTTGCATGAAATACTCAAAATTTTTTTTTTACAAATATTGGGGTTTTTTTCCTACTCAGAATAATGACAGTAACAGGAATTGATCTTTTCTAAAACATCAAGGGTATAATTTGTACTGGCTAAATGTTAAAACTATTTCAGAAGCAAAGCAAATTGATATATGGACAAATATATCTAGGAGAGCAAATTATCATTAAGTGCACATTCATTTTTAAACAACGAAATATGTCCATAATTTTATCATGTAATAAAATATCTCATCATTATTATAACATTAAATTATGTTGTATTTTATTAATGACCTGATTCAATTTTACACTTCCCTGATTGTTAAATTGTTTCTTTTAATGACGGCACGATTTCACAGAAGCCTGTGAGTCCTATGTTTGTGTAGTGTTTTTCCTTAGGATCTTAAACTCCGAAAAGCAGCAGAAAGCTTCTCACTACAGAGATAAGCTTTCTTCTGGGGTATCTAAATATCTATGTAAGAGGGAAATATTCAGTCTTCATTCTACAAGAAAAAAGGGAAAACCTGGTTATGTTTTGGAGTAGAGAAACTTTCAGTAACTTTTTTATTTAAACATTCTGAAATGGAGTAATCTAGAGACCACTGTGTTCAAATCTGCCTTCTGTTTCACTGTACTGAGTAGAATTTTTTCATTGAAATCCAAATTTCTGTTAGTGATTAGAAATGACACACTGTATTTGTCTTAAAGAAAGAAAATTAAATATATGATTATAAGCCACTATTTGATATTAATATAGTTGTAACATCTGTTTCTCTAAGCTTTATGAAAACCAACGGACCACTTCTAAAAGAAACCATGGCAGGTGGGATAATGGTACAAAAGAAGCAAAAGACAACTTGTAAAATTTGAAAGAGTTAACATATAATTTTTTTGTACTTTAACTCAAAATAATCACTCTAATTTGCAGATATTATCCTTTAAATTTCCAGCCAAAGCATTAGCCAACGAGCTGCCTAGTCAACCCACCTGTAACTAAAAATGAGAGATTATCTGCACTAAGGTAGCATTTCTATAGGATCAGAAACACAATTACTCCCATTCTTCTGTGTTTCTTATGTGGTATTCTGGAAAAGCCTGCCAGATTGCAGTTACTTTCTTTTTTAAAAAGTTCTACAATAATGAGTTATTTTACATACAGTCTGTGAAGCATTAGGAGGCTTTCGTGGTTGAGACATTTTGTTTGAACATCTGTTTGTTGTTTCGTGTTTCCGGTGTTATTAATCTTCTTGTAGGTAAGCAGGTGATACACCCTAACCAAATTGCGGTGGTACAGGAACAGTTTTCTCCTTCCCCTGAAAAAATTAAGTGGGCTGAAGAACTGATCGCTGCCTTTAAAGAACATCAACAATTAGGAAAGGTAAATGTTTTGTTAATGCCTTGGGTGAAACTGGTGTTTAAAATACTGTGGGGGGAAAATATAAACTAGATATCGTTTGAGTCGTTTCAAAAACTCATTGCGTTGTAAGGGAGAAGGTGCGGGGGAGGACAGCATTCATCAGGGAGAAATTCACTTAAGGTAAATTTGCCCTTCCACGTTTCTGAATATTTCACTACCTGGCCTTCAAGTCGCTCTATAGCTTTTTCTTTTCATAAACTATATTGGCAAACCTTTAAGAAAATAGAAGTCTGTTTAGTTTTTCTCTATAGACTCCAATGCAGCATTCATATGAAAATAATTTTAGATCAAAGCAAATGCAAGTTGTAATGAAATAAACACAGTTTGATCAAATGGTTCTTGTGGAGAGGGGAAGTAAATTTTCAAGTTATTTTAATTCGGGGGCAAAAATGTAACAAAAACCTCCTCCGGTTTAATCATTTAAGAGTGGGAGGCTGTGTATGTGTTTGTACCAATTTCTGGACCTGAGATTTGGATAGAATGGAGAGCAAATTAACACTGGAGTACGGTTGTTCCTAATTTAGTGCATCATTGAGCCTCGCGTTTCCTGCTCTGTGGGTTTCTGCTATGTAAATATTGCAGTGGTGATGCGCAATCTGTCTCCACTTTGTGCCAGTAACACTTAAATTAGGTGTCGCCTGAAGGAAGATTTTATGCTAGTAGCAGCATTGTCAGTTAATTATCTTAAAGGTTATTTGCAGTAATACCGTTTGCCTCTTTGTAAGGGAACGGGGAAAGTTGCATTTATAAATCCATCCTAGAGGTACTATCTAAACTCAGCCTAGTTACCGACATAAGGAGTGAAGTTTTAATACCTGCGATGCAAATGGTCTTGGGGAAGAAAGAATGCTGAGACATTACAGCCCCTTGTGGGGGGGGAGACAAAACTGGCTTCTGTGGTGAACTGGTGACATCGATGTGAGAAGTGTCACTTGCACTTTTCACCGGCAGTATAAACACCTGAAAATCGCAGGACTTGGGAAAGTAGAAAGTGGGTCACTCCCTCCCCATCATTACAGATACCTGCCTTCAGCTCTGACCTTGCATACTTGCTCACCCTCACACACTCACAGGCTCGTCTTTGCACAAACTGGCACTTGAAATCAAAGGGCAGAATATGTGACATTGGAAACATCCCATTTGGACTTACCCTAATTTCTGAATAAATATCATTCTTTCATTTTAAATCAGGAGTGGCTGTCAGAAAAGCACTGCAGTGATTTGTTTTGAAAATGACATAGTTTTAATGTCCATTTCTGTATCTTGACTCCAAAACCCAGCACCTCCACGAATGCACATCATTATTTACCTAAAGAGCTATATACTTTTTCATTCATACATGCAAATAACTCCATCCACTCCCCTGTCCTACCTGTGCCTCCACACACACTAAATGTTCTCTGCCTCTCCTTATGTCAGCCGATAAATACTTCCTATTGAAATGATAAACTGAGGCAGAATGTGGGCCATCAAAATGGCAGACTGAGCAGCATTCCAGTCTGGGCCACCACTGCCTCCATTAACCGCCTACACCGAGCTTCACATTGAATAACATCAAAGGATCCCACTCAGCATGGTAAGCAGCCAGGAGTATGGACGAGGTTACCGTAAATTTCGGGTAGCCAGCAAACAAAATTCAACGTAGAAGCACACTCTTTTGCTGGCATTTTTTAAGTTCTTGAATGAAGGAAAAAACACTTTTCCACTGTATCTTAGAAGTGTTCCCGAACAAAATTATTCCAAAGTGTCCTTGACTTTGGATGATGGCAACTTAAATATTAAATTCAGAACTGGCTTTTTTTTTTTTATAAGAAATGCTGTCTTGTTGGGGCATAAGCTTTCACAACAATGTGGCAGGACAGCTTTTCTTAACACAGAACCACAGAAATTAGAGCAGAAGGGAGACTCACCATTAGGTCATTTCCTCCCTGCCCCATTGGTGTAGGTTTGTTTCCTACAGCAAATTCTCCTGGTGCTTTGTCCAGCAAGGTTTAAATGATTCAAGTAATGGGGCTTCCAGTGGGGACATATGGTTATTTTATCCAGTTCGCATGTTTCTTTCACTTTGCCTATAAATTGGCTGGTCACAAAAATTGGGTCTGCAGGTAGGTGACTCTGGGTCTTGAAGGGTCTTGGGGTTTAAATAATGTGTGTTCTGTTTGTAAAGATTTAGTATAAATAGGTTGCTCAATTGTATAAAGTATTGCTTCCAACAAACATCTAATCTGTTTTATTTCAATTGTGAATCGCTATGAAAACATACACCCTCGGATACTTTGTCCAAAGCACAGGTGACTCAGTCAATGATGGTAAACTGATAGTTTGTGTCCTAGTGAGACAGTTACAAATTTCCAAAAGACCTTTGTTCCCCTCCAATGAAAATTCCATTCAAGTAATATTTTTAAGTAGAAATGACCCAAGAAGGCAAAATTATATATTTTTGCTTTTCTCTTCTGCTCCCATCTTAAATATTTTTAAGTAGAAATGACCCAAGAAGGCAAAATTATATATTTTTGCTTTTCTCTTCTTCTGCTCCCATCTTAAATTCTATTCTGCTCTAAGACCAGAGGTATAGCTGAAGTTCACAGGTAATGCTGGGTCCTTTGTGTTTTCTATAGTGACAATAATTAGTATTGTTGTGTAATAATAATAACAATAACAATAACAATATTGTAATAACAGTATTTATTATCAAAAATGTGATACCTTTTTTTCTGTTCCTACCAAATAACAGAACTTGTGGGAATATTTAGATCACAAAGTAGATTAATTATTGGAGAACTTTGGTGTCACAGAATTTTTTTTGTTTCATTTATATTAGAAGTTTTTAGGAAATAAAGTCTGATGCCGTTTAGTCTAATGTCAGGTTAAAAAGTACTTTACATTAAGAAATAATAATCTGCTCATATAATCTGTCACTGTTTGGCAGATCATGGTACTTGTGACTGCTTTGTTTCAGGAAACTATAGATACTTACAGGCAAAAGCATTTTGCCTGGCACAGCAGTCCCCACTAATAAGAATTAGGCTATCAGTTGATATTAGGGACTCAGGGTCATCTTCTCTTATTAAAATCTGTTGGAAAAATCTTAAACATTTCCAATACTCTATGCTCCTATTTTAATTCCCATAAGCTAAAATATGTCAAACTTAGCTGACATCAGTTGTGAAATATATATCTGCAATATTCGTCAGACTTGTGTTTTTCTCCAGTCCTTCCAGAAAAATATATTTTGAGATACAACCTGCATGTCATTAATAATTTTAGCTTCAAATTATTTGGTAGGAACTTTAGCCAGGATAAATCACTTTCCATATGATTTATTTTAAACCTATAGAAGGTTTTCTTAGAGGTTAATTTTATTTTTGATGTCATCTTTTCCATAACAGTGGTTATTCCACTATTTGTAAATTCTCCATTCAGAACTGAATTTAGTATTGCTTCTTAAAAATGGGATTTTTACAGTTCTTTTTTTATCAACTTGAAATTGTATATAGTAGGAAAATTGGGTAACTGAAAGGAGAACATCTCAAGCAAATATTTAGTTAATATTAATATATATATGTATCAGTGGAAACTATAACTTACATATAAGTACATATAAATATTTATGCAGTATATATACATTCATGTATTATGATACAGTATATTTTTTTCAAGTTTCTATTATAAACTCAGTGCTCATTTTTTCCTCTTTTTGTATTCATTTCTTGGCAAAAATGACAGCTAAAGAAAATGATCGATCAGTAATCCTAAGATATTTTAATATAAGAATTTAGCATTTCTTTCTATGTGAAGACTAACAGAAAAATGTGAAAGAATAGCAAAGTATATTACATGTGATAGATTTTAAAGGTACTTTGCTAGAATATTCCTGTTTTTTGCAGTATCTGACTACAAATATAGCTTTGCTTCATTTTCAGTTTTACTCATATCATTATCATTTGGATCTCGTTTTACTTTTTCAACATTTTTCGTTTGTTACAGCTTCACAAGCTAGCTAAAAAACCAAGGAACAGGAAATGTTCATCTTTAAAATCTAGGTTCAATTAACAATGATAAAGGTCAAAAAACAAGGTCACTACTTGACATAACAACTGTAAATATCACTGAAACGTTCTAATTTCACTCGTGAGAAAACCATAGAGCAAATTAATAAGTTTACATTAATAAGCAAATCCTCTACTGGAACATAAACCGGGAATTTATATCTTAATAAAGAAAGAGGGGCTTTTTTCCCTAATGGAAGTCTTTTCATCTAGAGAATTACAAAGGATAATAACCACCCCTCCAAGAATTGAAAGCAAATTATTTTCATAGGTATCTGATTGCTGCTCATACACCTTTCATTTGTGTTTCCAAATGCAGGGCTTTACAAAAGAAATACTGTTTGGGCCAGATGGCCTTCTAGAAGGCTCCCTGAGAGAACTCAGAAATCTCTCTAGCCAAAAATATTGTTTCCGCTTATTCAAGTGCCAGAAATCCCACTGCCACTCTTTCACGCAGATCAAATAAACCATCTAAAGATTTGGTTGTTGTCTTTGTCGGCTGAAAGGGTTGATTCCACTAATAGACAGCAATGTACCCTCCCACACCCAAGCATCCCACCACCCACAGCCTTTCCCCCCTTTATTTGTAAGCAGGAATACTAAAATCAGAACCGAGTGATTTCTAGTGAAAATAAAAACTGAAGGGGCACAACTCTACTTTTGAGATCCTCGGTTATTATATTTCCCCCTTTATTTCCTTGTTCCTTTAATATTTTTAGAACTGTATGCCATGACTTTAAAAAGTCAAATTCGTTACAAAGCTGAGAGTGCCAGTGAGGAGGACGTCAGGGTTGATCTGATTAGCTACAAACTGCAGATTTCTAAACATTTAAAGTAAGGCAATGCAATTCTAGTGCCGAAATAGCCTATTTCACACAGTTTTAGTGGCAAATGGTTCAGTACTAGAGGATA